CCCTGAATCCCTGGCAGTGTCCCCCCATCTGGCAGTGTCCCCCCTCCCTAATGCCACAGCAGTGTCTCCCACTCTGGCAGTGTATACCCCAGCCCTGAGCTGTCCCCCCTACTCTGGCAGTGTCCCCCAACCCAGCAGTGCCCCTCACTCTGGATGTGTTCCCCATCTGTGACCTTCTCTCAGTGTCCCCATCTCACAGTGTCCCCCTCTTACCTGAGTCCCTGGCATTGTCCTCACTCTGGCAGTGTCATCCTCCCCACCTCGATGCCCTGGCAGTGTCCCCCAGTCTGTCACCATCACGCTCCCTACCCCTGGCTGTGTCCCCCAGTATGACAGTGTGTGTGTGTGTCCCAATCCATTGGTAGTGTCCCCCACTCTCACAGTGTTGCCTGATCCATTACTGCCTGATAGTGTCCCCTAGTCTGGCAGTGACACCCGAGTCCTGTTCCCCAGCACTGTCTCCCAGGCTGGCAGCGTCCTTCAGCCCTGAGCACCCTGCCAGTATGGCTAGGTCCCCTCAATGACCTGTCATCAGTGTCCCCCCATCCCTGCCTGTCTGGTAATATCCCCCAGTTTGGCCAGGTCCCCTCGTCAGTGAATCCCTGGCAGTGTCCCCCAGTCTGGCAGTGGCCCTTCATCCCTGACCCCACAGCAGTGTCCCCATCACCTGTGCACTGCCCTTCCCCGGAGCCCATCCTTTTGTGGCCACACCAGGGCTCTCACTGTCCCTATGAGCAGTGCATGGTGCATGAGGCAAGAGGAATGCCAACCAAGTGCCACCCCATCACCCAGGTGTGAATCCCATCATGATAGGTGGGGTCCCAGCCCAATGCTAAGCCACTCAAACCACCCAGGGAAGGATCTCCCTGCAATGTCCCCAAGCCTCAGCTGCAGGACGGGTGTCACTTGAGACGTGACACCTAGGGGTGGTCTCGTCCAGCTGCAACCCAACCCCAGTGTCAGGTTTCAGCTGGTGGTGCCAGGAGGAGGAGCGGGGCCACAGCCCTGTCAGTGTCCCCAGGGCCACCACCCCCAGCTGAAGCCATGCTGTCTCTGCCACCGGTGCAGAAGCTGCTGCGGCAGCTACCAGCGGGGCCGGCCAGGCAGCCGAAAACACCAGTGGGTGGTGACACAGCTGAGGAGGTGACAAGTCCGGTGCTGGCCACCGAGGCTGGTCAACCTGCCTGAGCTGCATCCGCTCGCCAGCCCTGAGCCTGTGGTGGCCACTGGCACCAGGCCACCACCGCGGTAAGACCCCCCCAGGGACCGCCCCCTGGGACCTCTGGCGATGGTGGCTCTAGCCAAACATCATTCAATGGGTGCCACCTCCAGCTTCTGTGGGTGGACACAGCCTTGCAGGTCCCCCCTGGTTTGGTGGGGATGGATGTTCCTTAGAAGAGGGGACAGTAGTGGCATTTTCGCAGCCAAGGGAGGGGATCAGGGAAGGGCTCTGTTTTGGGGCACACCGGCACATCCATGCCATCATGCCCAGGAGGGGACAAAGGACACCCAGCCAAGCTGGGCTGGGAACCGGGATGGAGCCACTGATGGATGGTTGCTCCCTGGAAAGCGATTTGGGGACGTCCTAGGGTGACAACCACAGCTGGGCTGGGACGGGGTCCTTGTTCCAGTGCCTGGGACAGGGGCAGAGCTGGGTGCCACCACCACACCAGTCCCTCTGGCTCCTCTTTCACCTGGATGTAACGCGACTCCTGTCCCCATAAATATTGCATGGCAAAGGGTTGGGTTGCCAGCCTGATGGCAGGCTGGGAGCAAAATAAAAAAGGATTAAAATGACTAAAAATGTGTACAAATGGCTCAGAATGGGTAAAAACGGGATTTATTTTTTTTTCTCCTGGCATGGCGCAGACATGATGACCTCAAGGAAATGCTTGATAGCAACAAGGATTCGCTCAAGCTGGAGGCCATGAAGAGGATCGTAGCGGTGGGTGTTGCTGTGACCGGTGGGGACCACTGCCGGTGCCAAGCTGTGCCATGCTGTGCTGTGCCATGCCATGCTGGCTGCCTGGTGTCACGCTGCTCCTTTACCCCCTAGATGATAGCCCGAGGTAAAAACGCCTCTGACCTCTTCCCAGCTGTGGTAAAAAATGTCGCCTGCAAGAACATTGAGGTAAGAAAGGTCTTGGGTGGCCCTGGTGACACTCATCGGTGTCCCCAGGGTCTGGCACCTCCCTTGCAGGAGGGTTTTGGGGATGGGATGGGTTTTAGGGGACTCTAAGGTGGCCCCGCCACCTTCACCTCACAGGTGAAGAAGCTGGTGTACGTCTACCTGGTGCGATACGCAGAGGAGCAGCAGGATCTGGCCCTGCTCTCCATCTCCACCTTCCAGCGAGGACTCAAGGTGGGTCGGTTTGGGGACCCAGGGAGGAGTAGAGGGGCAGTGAGTCCCCCACAGCCATGCAGAAGCCCCCCGCCTGTCTCCACAGGACCCTAATCAGCTGATCCGCGCCAGTGCCCTGCGGGTCCTCTCCAGCATCCGTGTGCCCATCATCGTGCCCATCATGATGTTGGCCATCAAGGAGGCCGCCTCGGATATGTCCCCATACGTGCGCAAGACGGCCGCCCATGCCATCCCCAAGCTCTACAGGTAGCATGGGGGCTGGCTGCTAAATTTTGGGGGGTACAAATAGGGGCCCAATGCTGGGGTTTCGGCTGCTTGGTGCAAGCAGGAACAGGCAGGGATGGAGGGGTTGGAGGGTAATTTGGTCCCACCATGTCCACCCTATTCTCCCCTCACAGCCTCGACTCGGATCAAAAGGACCAGCTCATCGAAGTGATCGAGAAACTGCTGGCAGACAAGACCACAGTGAGTTGGGTGTCACGTCTCCCCTGCCCCTAAACCTGGGGACATCACTGGCTCCGCTGACCCAGCGTCCTCATGGGGATGCAGATATCCCCACCAAACTGGTGTTCTTATGGGGATGTAGCCATCCATGCCTTGTAGTTACGCTGCTGTTCCCACCGAGCCAGCATCCTCACAGAGATGCCACCATCCCCACTAATATGGCATCCTCATGGGGATGCAGATATCCCCATCAAACTGGTGTTCTTATGGGGATGTAGCCATCCATGCCTTGCAGTTACGCTGCTATTCCCACCGAGCCAGCATCCTCACAGAGATGCCACCATCCCCACTAATATGGCATCCTCATGGGGATGCAGATATCCCCATCAAACTGGTGTTCTTATGGGGATGTAGCCATCCATGCCTTGCAGTTACGCTGCTATTCCCACCGAGCCAGCATCCTCACAGAGATGCCACCATCCCCACTAATATGGCATCCTCATGGGGATGCCACTGTCCCCACTGATCCAGGATCATCATAGGGATGCCACCATCCCCACCAAATCGGCATCCTCATGGGGATGCCACCACCCCAGTGAGTCACCCTGAGCTTTTCCTCCCCAGCTGGTGGCCGGCAGCGTGGTGATGGCATTCGAGGAGGTCTGCCCAGAGCGCATTGACCTCATCCACAAGAATTACCGCAAGCTCTGCAACCTGCTCATTGATGTGGAGGAGTGGGGGCAGGTGGTCATCATCAACATGCTGACCCGCTACGCACGCACCCAGTTCCTCAGCCCCAACCAGAACGTGAGTGCGGGAGCCTTGGGGTGCCCTGGGAGCCCCTGAGGAGGTGGGGGAAGGAGAGTGCTGTTGGGAGGGTGCAAAACATCCCATCTACTTGCAGGAGTCCTTGCTGGAGGAGAGCACTGAGAAAGCTTTCTATGGCTCTGAGGAGGAGGACACCAAGGACGCCAAGGTGGAGGCAGCCTCGTTGGCCAAGCGCAAGCCCTACGTCATGGACCCCGACCACCGCCTTCTCCTGCGCAACACCAAGCCCCTGCTGCAGAGCCGCAATGCTGCAGTGAGTCCCCCACTCCAGCCCTGACCATCTCCAGAGGCCACCAATGGTGTTCATCAAGGATCTATCAGGGTGCTTGAGGGACACCCAGGTCTGGGTGTCCCCAGGGATGGGCTTCCTCCAGGAGCTGCTGGGTGGGACTCTGGGGGACATAGCCATCCCTCGGGGTGTCCCCATGCCCACCAGGTGACGCTCAGGTGTCTCCCCGCAGGTGGTGATGGCTGTGGCACAGCTCTACTTCCACCTGGCACCCAAGGCAGAGGTTGGTGTCATCGCCAAGGCGCTGGTGCGGCTCCTGCGGAGTCACAGGTCTGTGGCACCTAGGTCATGGTGGTCCTCTACCCTGCCACCTTGGTTGGTGGGACCCACAGGGAGCCCCAAGACCTTGGGACAGACCCCCAAAAAGCTCATCCCTGCAGGGACATCGGATTGGGGCAAATTGCCAAAAAAGAGCATTTCTTGGCCTGGCCCAGCCCAGACATGGGGTGGCCATGTGTGGTGGCACCAGCCTGGTCGTGGGTCCTGCTGTCTTCACAGGGATGTGCTGGAGGGGTCCAGCCCAGCCCTGCTGATGGTGGTCCCCTCTTTGTCCCCACAGTGAGGTGCAGTATGTTGTGCTGCAGAATGTGGCCACCATGTCCATCAAACGGCGGGTGAGTCTCAGACTTGATGTGGGAGGAGTTGGCCCTGTTGACTCTGGAGCGGAATGAGGGCTAGCCAGCAGGTTCATCAGGACCAGCTGCCTGCGGGTGGCCTCAGCAAGGGGGGGACAGGGATGGCACTAATGCCACTGGCTCTGCATGCAGGGGATGTTTGAGCCCTACCTGAAGAGCTTCTACATCCGCTCCACGGACCCCACGCAGATCAAGATCCTCAAGGTGAGCTGGAAACACCCAGCAGAACCCATCACTGGTGGCTTTGAGGCTTCATGGAGCCCTTTCCCGTGGGGCAGCTGTCCTCCATGCCCTGGGGAACAGGAAGATGGCAAGGACCCTGTGTCCTGGTACCATGCCCCCATCCTGCCCATCTCCTCCTCTTTCCTGCAGCTGGAAGTCCTCACCAACCTGGCCAATGAAACCAACATCTCCACCATCCTGCGGGAGTTCCAGGTATGCCATGGCCATATTGATGTCACCAGGGTGCCACTCTGGCATGGCTCTGGGTGCCAAAACACCACCATGGAGGGAACGGAGGAGAGCCCCATCAGGAGTAGGCTGAGGCCATGCCAACCCCATGGGTGGCTCCAAAGAGCTTCAACATGTGACCACCACATGGGGGGATGCCCGGTACTGGCATGCAGGTGACATGTCATGTGTCCCCCCCATGCCTGTGCAGACCTACATCCGCAGCATGGACAAAGACTTTGTGGCAGCCACCATCCAAGCCATAGGGCGCTGCGCCACCAACATTGGGAAGGTGCGGGATACCTGCCTCAACGGCCTGGTCCAGCTCCTCTCCAATCGGGATGGTTAGTGCACACGGTGGGGGTGGAACGGGGGCTCCATCACTCTTGGAGCAGGATCCCACTGAGGCGAGGTCTCTGCCCGCAGAGCTGGTGGTGGCTGAATCCGTGGTGGTCATCAAAAAGCTGCTGCAGATGCAGCCGGCCCAGCACAGTGAGATCATCAAGCACATGGCCAAGCTCACCGACAACATCCAGGTGGGTTGGGGCGTTGCATGGCCCCAAGGACCAGGGGGTTGGCCGCGGTGCCATGTGCCCAGGGGTGTTTTGCAGGTGCCAATGGCGCGGGCCAGCATCTTGTGGCTCATCGGCGAGTACTGTGAGCACGTGCCCAAGATTGCACCCGATGTGCTGCGCAAGATGGCCAAGTCCTTCACCAATGAGGAGGACATCGTCAAGCTGCAGGTCATCAACCTGGCAGCCAAGCTCTACCTGACTAACTCCAAGCAGGTACCAGAGATGTGGCCTAATGGCGTGCCTCAGTTTCCCCATCGGGGAGAGAGAGGCTAGCCCTGAGCATGTCCCCTGGTGCAGAGCAAGCTGCTGACCCAGTACGTCCTCAACTTGGCCAAGTATGACCAGAACTATGACATTCGTGACCGGGCTCGCTTTATCCGCCAACTCATTGTGCCCACCGAGAAGAGTGGAGCCCTCAACAAGTACGCCAAGAAGCTCTTCCTGGCCCAAAAACCTGCTCCCATCTTGGAGTCCTCTTTCAAAGGTACCCACCCCTGGTCACAGGGCACAGGGACACAGGGCCAGCTGTCACTACAGTGTTGCATGGCTGTCCCTGAGCTGCTGCCACCTCTTGCCTCGCTGTAGATCGGGACCATTTCCAGCTGGGCTCCTTGTCCCACCTCCTCAATGCCAAGGCTGTGGGCTACCAGGAGCTGCCTGACTGGCCAGACGAGGCCCCCGACCCCTCCGTGAGGAACGTGGAGGTGTGTGGAGCACCCTGGGGTGCATGTTGGGGCCGAGGTGGGGACATCGCCTTAGGGTTTTGGGAGAGCCTCAGAAGATGCCCAGGTGCTGCTCAGTTGCCCCATGTCCCCTCTCTGGTACCCACGCACCTGGCTGGGGATAGAAGGGGGGCAAGGGCAGCAATTTGAGCCCCCCACCCATGGGCGATGGCCCTGCTCCATCAACCCTATGCCAGCAGGTTCCTGAGTGGACCAAGTGCACCAGCCGGGAGAAGAGGAAGGAGAAGGTGGAGAAACCTTTCTACTCTGACTCAGAGGGCGAATCAGGGCCCACAGAGTCCGCGGACAGTGGTGAGGACCTAGTGGCATGGCAGGGCATGGGGCAGGGGTCACTGTGGTGCGGCATGGGGCAGGAGCCACCATGATAGGGCATCAGGCAGAGGATACCATGTTGGGGCATGGGACAAGTGCCACCACGATGGGGAATGGGGCAGATGACACCATGGTGGGCTTGGGGCAAGAGCTGCCATGATGGGGCATCAAGGAGGGAACACCATGGTGGGGCATGGGGCAGGTGCCACAATGGCAGGGCATCAGGAAGGTGACTCTGCGGTGGGAACATTCTGTCATGGTGGGGACATGGTGGGGGACATGGAGGGATGTGGCAGGAGGATGCAGGAGGACACAGCAGGGCTGAGCTGTGCCCCCCGCAGAGCCTGAGTCTGTCAGCGAGAGCAGCAGCAGCAGCAGCTCCAGCAGCTCCAGCTCTGGCAGTGAGGAGGAAGAGGAGGAAGGCAGCGGGGAGCAGTCAGAGGACAAGGAGGAGGAAGAGGAGAAGACGAAGAAGAGGAAGGAGAAGGAAGGCTCCCGAAAGGCAGCCCCAGGGATCGTGGGCAGGTACCCTCCAGGAAGGTAGATGGGGTGCCCCCAGCTGAACACCTGCCCCGGCCCCCCTGAGTCAGGCTCTCCCCACAGCCCCAGTGAGGAAGAGGAGGAGGAGGAGGAGGCAAAGAAGGCCAAGAAGAAGGCAGCACCGCAGGGGAGGAAGGGCCATGCTGAGATCTCATCAGAGGAGGCCAGCGCCTCCGAGAGCAGCTCCTCAGGCTCCGACTCAGGCTCCGAGGTGGAGGCCAAGCGGAGGAAGGCGGTGAGGGCCAGGCAGGGGTGGGAGGAGGCAACGTGGGGACTCCCAGACCCCGAATTCACACCCTCTGTCTCTCTGCCCCCTTGCAGCCCCCCAGCAGCAGGGCCCACCCCAAGGAGATCTCCCTGCTCGACCTGGATGACTGTGAGTGGCTGCCTGGGGCACATGAGATGGCTGTCGTGATGACACTGGGGAAACTGAGGCACAGGCGCCCACCCTGATGAGGGCAGGGTCCCATGGGTCCCACGGAGGCTGCTGAGCTGGGACAGGGACCAGTGAGAGGTCCTTGTCCCCAGAAGATGGCCCTGGGGCAGGTGGCTGTGCCAGTGGGGCTGTCCTCATGCACATGTGGCACTAGGGCTATGCCACCGGGGCTGTCCCCATAGGGTTGTCCCCATGGGAAAATGCCAAGGCTGTCCCCATGGGGCTGTGTCACTGAGGCTGTCCCTGTGAGGCTGTCCCCATGGGGCTATGCCACTGGGATGTCCCCACAGGGCTGTCCCCATGGGGCTATGGCTCATCAGAGCTCTGTTAACCCTTTCCTCACCTTCACTCTGCAGTCACCCCCCCTCCTCCCCAGTCCGTCCCCTCCAGCAGCATCGTCTCCACCAGCCTGGTGACCGACCTGGAGGGCCTCATGCTCACCGACACCTCCCTGGCACCCGCTGTAAGTGTCCCCTACATCCTTCCCGGGGTGCTCTTGGGACCCCTGCCACCTGCGGGGAGGGCGTCAGCACCCCATACCGGTCCCTTGGACCCTCGCAGCTGCTGAGCCCAGCATTCGGCACGGTGAGGACCTATGAGCTGCTGCACCGCATGGCGGGCGAAGGGCTCTCAGTCGAGTACTGCTTCAGCCGTCGGCCCTTCCCTGGGGACCCCCACATGGTGGCTGTCCAGATCCAGATCTCCAACAACACCGACGCCGAGGTGAAGAGCCTGCGGGTCAGTGAGCCCAAGCTGCTCGCCGGCATGCGGATCCAGGAGTTCCCCGAGATCGGTACAGCATGGCACGGCATGGCCACGGTGCTGTGGGGTGGACAGGGACAGGGGTTGGCTAGTGGAGGGGACATGGGATGTGGTGGCAGGCCTGGGACACGGTGGCAGCCCTGTGGTTTCAGAGTGCCTGGCACCTGGGGACACAGCCAACGTGGTGATGGGCATCGACTTCTGTGACTCCACCCAGGCGGCCAACTTCCAGCTGTGGTAAGTGCCTGGCAGCAGATAGGACAGGACGGGTGTCCCAGGGGCTGGGGACAGCGTGGGATGCTCCAAGGGTGGGGGACAGTGAGGCAAGGCATGGGTGCTCCAGGGCATGGGCACCAACATCCCTCCAAAGGACATGGGGCAGGAGGGGACAAATGGACAGGGCACGGGGACACAGGACCTCCCCCCAGGACATTGGGGCCAGCCAGCCAGGCACCAACATCCTTTCAGGGGACAGAGGACAGCAAGATAGGGTATGGGGTGCCTCAGGAGACAACAGGACAGGCCCCAGGGTCCTTCCAGGGGAGGGAGGACACAGGGATGGCCACAGGGTGGTTGGGAGACAGCAGGACAGGCACCAGGGCCCTTGCAGAGGACAAGGAAGTGGCAGCAGACCCAGGTCCAGACTGATGGGTTTCCCTAATGCCAAAGCCTGTTGTGCCTCAGTTTCCCTTCAGCTGCCTCCTGCCCAGGACAGGGACACGGGGGGGCGGGATGACACAACTTTTTGAGCAGATGTCCCCTTCACCTGTCTGTCTCCCCAGCACCCACACGCGCCACTTCTACGTCTCCATCCAGCCGCCTGTGGGGGAGCTCATGGCCCCCATCTTCATGAGTGAGAACGAGTTCAAGAAGGAGCAGGGTGAGTGGAGAACAGGGTCGGGGATGGGGACAGGGCAGCGCATGGGCACCCACCGCCCCAGTGCCAACACTCACCCCCCTCATTTTGTCCCTTCTGCCGCCCTCGCTGTGGTCCTAGATCACCTTGCGTGGCCAGGCGAGGGTAAGTGGCCACTGGGCCAGCCCCTAGAGTAGCTCTGCTCCCCTCAGCCTCCTCCTGTACTCCAGGGATGTGGCTGCTGCTACTGAGCAGCGACGCAGGAACGAGCCCAGGAACGGTCATGGAAGAAGGGTTTTCCCAAATTAGTCTCTGCAAGACTGGAGAGAAGCAAGCAGGGCAGCTAGTTCGGGGTGTGGGGACCCACATGCAGGGAGCTGGCAGCTGGAGGGGCTTGGTTTGGGGACAGCAAAAAGGGACCCAGCAGGGACACAGCCACAGCATGAGTGGCCGGAGATAGGCAGATGCCTCTGCTGCCTGCTCCAGGGAAGCTGACAGGCATGAGCGAGATCACGGAGAAGCTGACGCTGCCTGAGAAATGCCAGAGTGACCACGCCATCGTCCAGCAAGTGACCTCAACTGCCAACGTGGGCCGCGTGCCCTGCGGTGCCGACAATGAGTACAGGTAGCCGGACCTCAACACGGGACCAGGCAGGTGCTGTCACCTCCCTGGTCCCACACAAATGACAGTGGGGAAACTCAGGGCTTCCTTTAGGACAAGGAGCCTACATGAACCCACACATGATGGTAGCTGTTGGTGGCAAATGCCTCCCTGGTCACCACCGGAGCATCACAGGGGATGGGAGGGTGACAGGGGGACAGCTTGCCCTGAAGCCCCATGTTTGCCGGCACCAGGTTTGCAGCCAAGACAGTGACCAGTGGGAGCCTGGTGCTCATCACCTTGGAGCAACGGGAGAGCAGCATGGCCCAGCTGACGGTCAACAGTGAGAAGATGGTTATCGGCACCATGCTGGTGAAGGACATCGTCCAAGCCCTGGCACAGTGATGGCCAGGCCCCACCACACCCATGGCCCTGCCCTCGCACCCCCCTCTGCCCCGCACTGCTCCCCAAAACACTCCCTGCTCCAATTTCTGACAGGTTATGCCCTGCCTCGAGCCCCAGAGGGGCAGCAGGCAGCGACCTTCAGGCTGGCTTCGCCACTTGGAGGAAGGAGCAGGACAGGGCAGATGGGACACAGGGCAATGTTCCACTCGGGGAGGACATCTGAAGCACAGCATGCTTCCAGCCCCCACCCCCTCGCCCCCATCTCCCAGTGTAACCCCTATTTATTATGGCCAGGATGTCCCAATAAAGCTCTTCTTGAACCTGCCCCCTTCCCCTCCTCTGCTCTGTGTGCCCCAAACGATCTCCACACCAGGCTCAGCCAGCCTCCCCCAGCTCAGGCTGTGGGGACATCAGGGAACCGGCCATCCCTTGGGCAGCTGGGGACATCTGAGTCCCCTGGAGGTGGCACTGCTTGAGTTGGGTGGCTTCTGGCTCTTGGAAAAAACCCAGCACCAACACGCAGGGTTGGGGTAAACCCTCCTGGGGCTTAGCAGAGGACAGGAAGCATTCAGTCAGATCAGGGATCTGAGGAGTCCTGGGAGGTTTCCAGCTATTTATTCAAAGCAGAATTGCTCGTGCCTTGATCGCAGAAATACCTGCTATGGGTCTATTCTGCAGTGTCACTGGAAGGATTCCTGGGGCCAGCTTCGGGAAGCTTCTGACCTCCAAACTGGGGAAAGGAAAAAAAAAAAAGATGAAAAAGGAAATTTGACTCTTTTTCAAGATCTGTCCTTCCAGCATGGGTTGGGTGGGATTTAAGAGAGCCCCAGCTCTCTTTTTCTGAAGCTGCAGCCCAGCAAGGAGAGAATAAGCAAAGGACACATGGGAAGGCCTCAACTCCAAATCGCCTCAAGTCTGGCCCCTTCTGCTGCAAAAAGGGTGAGAGGCTTCCTGCTTTTTCCAGTGTGTGAGTAGATAAGATAAAGTTACCTTTATATTTTATTTACAGTGACAGAATGCCAGCCAGAGCGGCTGCACCACCAACTACATTGCATGAAGTGTTTGTTCCCGCAGGGAGAAGCCCATTTCCACAAGGACGGGGCCCAGCGCTGCCTCATACCCGGGGTGGGGGGAGGGGGGGCTGAAACCAAGAACCACTGGCACCCCATCACCCTATTCCCCTTTTAAGGTCGGTGCCCTGTTTTAACCCCCTGTGGGGTCCCATTCCCCTCACAGGGAGCACGGTGAGCAGCACACCCCGAGTTTGGGGAAGAGGAGGCACTGAGGCGCCACTTGA